ACTTCCTTCTTTCTGATCTCTGTCCACCGACGTCTACCATCCTGTAAAATAAACATTATTTTTATAATATTATTCAAAATTTAACTTATCCTATCAATAAATATATATATATATATTTATATATTACTACATTATTAATAAAAATAAATTCTATTTTTATTTTTATCAATTATTAAGTACAATTTATAAATTCTATTTTCAAATACCATAATATTATTGATATAATTATTAATTAAAATATTTACAAAAATATACTTTGTAAACATAAATTGCATGAAAAAACATGCAAACAATAAGCTGTTTCAAGCAAATGAAAGGTAGAAATTGAAAAAGAAAAGAAAAAAGAAAAAATCGATATAATATATATTCAGAAAATATAATTTTATTCTTTTAAAAAAATATATTTTTATAATTACTCACCTTGTAAACGTATTCTAAGATACAGATATTATTATTTATATCTACTACTATTATTATATGTTATATTATTATTATAATTATTTTCTACTGTTATTTTAATTACTTTAGTACATCTAAAATATTCTGAATATCTTTTACAATATTCATGTAATAATTTTACGTATTTATGTAGTAATACGTACAAGAAGATGTCAATACCGTTACAATAGATTACAGTAATAACTTAAAAAATATACGATCGAAAAAATAATTAACAAAAAGAAGCGGTTTTATGACAATATATTAAAAAAATATATATATGTATACAAGATAATATGAATAAAAAAAACCAAAGTTTCTATTTTTTTAAAAACACACAGATATTTTTCATACTGATCCACATACTCCAAGTTAGTGTAATATTAAATTAGTAAAGTATACATACTTCTAAACGTATAGTGAAGTTTCAAATAATGTGTGTTAGTACCTAAATATGATGGAGTCCAGATCAAACGGATATTCTATAATGCCAGTAGTAGGAGCTCGAGCCCGAAGAATATCTTGTTCAGTAGGAAGGAAGTCAGGCTTTTCAATACGGTCTAGGTCACTAAGATAACTGCAAAATAAACGAAGCCACAGTCTGATAGTGCATGCCATGCATGTATTAAAGGTGGTTATGAGGAGAGGGATATCGCAAAACAGCTCACACATGCTCGTTGTCCCTGCCTGTAAGAATTTTGGAATATTGCAAAGTTCATTGATTTATTCTTACAGTTTTATGACATCCAACCGATAACGAGACAATTTACATTATTTTCCGCATTACTATTCCGCATTATTCCTATCATGAAATGGAGAGAAGAACATGTGTTCTTTATTTCAAGAAGAAAACAAAACTTCTTGTAAATAATGAAAATACATAATGTATAAATATTTTACTCCAATTACAAATATAAAAATTTGAGAAAGAAGTTTGAATTTGATTTTTAAGGTTAAGATAAGTCATAAAACCAGAGGGATCAATAGAACTCGCGAAACATCACCGACAAAGGAAAAGAAAACGTAACAAATGATGGATTTCAATGTACAAATGTGAAATCGATGAGTCACAATGCATGCAGCCACGATGCAGAAAGAGTCCAATGTAGTATAAGTAGTAAATCACAGGCACAGGCAGCGTCTTCCTTTCTTTGCATGGCGAGACATACCTAAATCGAATTTCTTCCAAGTCAAAGGGATATTCAATTATACCAGTAGTGGGTACTCTCACGCGAAGAATGTCCTGTTCTGTTGGGAGGTAGTCTGGTGCTGCGACTCGATCTATCTCCAATAGGTAACTGAAACATTATGCTCTCAATACCTGGTACGGCGAAAAATCGAGCATTCTCAAAATCATAATCGTTTGGTGGACAAATATCAAGTAAACCAAAATCATATAAAACACTTACAGAAGGACCTATGATGGATCGAGAATTGTTAATTTACTTAATAGAAATTTATCAAGAAACAACTCGAACAAATATTTTTAATAAAATTTTTAAAAGAAACAATTTAATTTTATGCAATTATATACTCGTACTTAATTGTATTGTCTCGCATCAAACCTGTACTCTTCTTGGCGTAATCGCGTTTGAGAATTGGTTTAGCTGTGCATTTGTGAGAAATTATTAATTGAACGATGGCATCGAATAGTATGAGATGAAAAAAAAGAGATACACTCTCCTCAGGACAAAATAATATGATGCGTTATAACGAAGATACGAAGAAATGCACAATACTTACTATTTAGCGGAATCTGTGAGCTGATATTCTCGCCTGCGGTCATAACACTCCTGGATACCAGCATCTGCCCATAAATCTTTAATTGCCTCTACGTATGGGCTTTCAAACGTTGTAACCGTTTCGAAGTCCACGCTTCGCACAAGTTCTGCTTTTTCCTACGATCGGATGGGAAGAACACACACGTTGCACTCCAGTACCATAATGAAACACGGCAAAAAAAGGGAGCCAGGGTCACCGTTAAAAATACTCACTATATTCGAAGATTCGGTGTACTGGATCTTGAGGAGGTCCATCGCTCGGATCATGGACTGCATGGCCATGAAAATGTTTTGGTATACGAGTTTGATGAACCCCCTCTTGTCATCATCCGAGTAACCAGACCCGTGGATGATTCTCATCTGTTTAATAAAGGTGGATTTGCCGGATTCACCAGTACCTGTAACAAAATTCGTTAATTATTAACGAGTCAATTATTATCCAGCTAATTGATGTTTTTTATTATTTATTTTAAATTTACGTGATTTTAATTTAACTCGATGAAATTGCACTATTATATGATAATCTATAAGATAAAGATATGATGGAACATTTCTCATTAAATATATTTTTCAAATTAGTTTACATTTAATTATAATTAATATTATAGTTTTGATAAAGTTATAAAATAAAATATTCCTGTTTTTCGTTACATGTGCAAAAATAATTTTATATTATATGGACAATAATGTTTTATTATTATAACGTAAAATATACTTATAGACCTGCCATTTTATGCTTTTGTTTATTTGCAATAGTTTGATTTTATATCGATGATTCATGAATTTCTTTTTATATGTATTTTTCTAATTTTACTCATAAAAATTAATAAAATGTATTGCATCAGATATAACAAATAATATTAATAAATAAAAATTAAAAAACTTATATTAATATATTATGAAATATATAAATATTCAAATAATTTACTAAATATTATATATAGTGTTATAAATATAACAATATTTTTTATTTATTATAAAAAAAGATTTCACTTTAATTATTTTTTCACGTCATACTTTGAAATAATTATCATAATTTAATCATGTATCATAATTTAATCATTTTATCTATTTAATATGATACATTAAGAATTATAATTAAGTATTTATATAAATTATATTTTATAAAATTTTTACAAAAATTTTTGTTTCTAAAAAAATATTGTATTATAATAATTGTTCTAGAAATTGTAGTTCACGTAAATTATTTAATGTATTCTTACTATATTCTTACTATAATTAATATAAAACAAAATAAAATATATCAATCAAAATGAAGTACTAGAATTAAATAATTTAATAAATTTTTATAGATTATGATTGAATGATATTAATTAATGGTTAAAATTAATTACATTTTTTTGAATCTATTATATTGAATTCATTATTTATGTAGACAAAAGAATAATAATATGAATAACTGATTGTAAAGTTCGTCAATTTCAATAGACCAACGATAGTAGTTAAACCAACATACTCATACGTATATAAATGGCATTTAAGAGTTAACACGTAAATTTAATTATCCATTTGCTTATACCTTGTCAATTGCACCGTATAAACCGCATTAAATCAGAAACTAATAATTTCAAATATCATTGGTACTTTCTCGATCAAAGAACGGGAGAAAGTAGCAATTGTAACAAAGCGTTTTGCATTCGATAATTAATACACCGATCCAATTAATTCGTTTCCTCTATCTTGGACTCAGAAAGAGAAACAACTGAAAAATAGATAATATTGAACCGGCATATTTTTATATTGAAGCCGCTCCAATGACAAATATCGTATTACATTATCGTATTGTTAATACAATACGCTCGAACCGTCTACAAACATTACGAGTTATTAACGATTGCGTAACGTGGTTCGTTGGATTGCATATTAATATTTGTATTTGAATGATCCGTTGCTTGGTTCGTAAAAACAAGCAGAGTTCTTGTGAGAACACGTGGACTGAAAAGCCGGGCGAAAATGATTTCGAGGCAATAACGTATTGAAAACCGAATCGACGTTGGAGCGTGCTAGAATTGGCCGACCTCCACCGACCTCCATATCTTTCGTTCGACAATTTCCGTACAGCGCCCGATGTACGCCTCGTGCTTTTCCGGGTCGCAACGGAAGGATACGAACATCTACGACGAAAAACGAAGCCACCAACCTGAAATGGGAAACGACACCAAGCCAGGAACGTACTACAAGAACTACACCATCCTTTTCTTCATCCTCTTTCATCTTTCTTTTCTCAAATTATGAAATTTAATAGATTTATAATTAATATAATTAATATTTAATTTAATAGATATAATAAATATAAATAATAATTAAATTTAATAGATTTATATAAAATTAATTGCAATTAAAAATTGAATTATTTTTCTAATAGAATTATAGCAACATATAACTATATTTCATGTTTATAATTCTAATTAAAACTTTCAAAATATTATATATATATATTATATATATATTCAACTTATTTTTTTTATGCAAAATGATGCATGCGTAAATAAATTTTTTAATAAATTGTAATTAAACACGTAAATATTATTAGTTTTTTTCACAATTCAATTTGACAAAATTATTTCTAAATGTTATAAAATTTAATACAAAATTAAATTAAAAAAATAAAAAAAATTTATATTTATCTTTTTGTGCATTTTTTCTTCAAGCAACGTTCTCATATAACGATTATTTAACGATATAGTATATTAAAGAGAGTATAAATATAATTATATGATAATATAAATAAATATAATAAATAAATATATGCGAAATGACAAATTCTCAAAACAAAAGAAACATATCTCAAAAATTCCGTAAGAATTTTGAAAATTAATTAATATAAATTTTACGAGACAAATTTTCGATGTTATGATTCTTGAATTTCGCAGTGAATTTGATAATCAAATAATAAACCATTATAAACTATTTTTTGTCGCAACTAGTATCATTTCTTTCCTTCTTTATTGCTAATAATAACGCCGACATTAAATAGGTTGCAAGTCGATTAATTCGACCCTTATCGGATCATACGCTCGGAAGTGTGCAAATTAATTTTTTCCGCAATGAACTACTCGAGGTATTTAATCAACCATAAGTGAACTGTTCAATTTGATAATCCATAAAATTCCTTTCATCATTCTTATCACAAGTAAGAAAGCTATTCTCACATTCCTACTTTTTTTACTTCACTTTATTCCTTTCTCCAACAATAAGTTGTACCTATCTATTTAACTTTCTAGAAACATTTTTTTAATTTCACTATCAAGTATTTCGAATTAATCAATTTTAATTAAATCTTAAAAAATCAATACTTTGAAATCCGAAAAAAAACAGTTTTTTTTTTTTACTATGTTCACTTGGAATCTATGAATCCTTATTTGTAATTTATTAAATCACGTATTTGGAAATTGTAACTTTTTTAATAAACAATAAACAATTCCAACTTCAAATCAAGAAATAATATAAAATATAAGTAACAAGAATGTTCTTCTTTAAAGAAATTACTTCGATTAATTTTACACAACATGAAAAAAACATAAAAAAGAAGTAAAAATCTTTAATATATAGTTTTGTGGTACGAAAAAAATTTCACAAAAATCAATAATATTCGATAAATCAACAATATTCGTCATGAAGAATCCCTACTTGCCACATAAATATATGAATTCGTGGCAGCGAAAATGTTGAAATTAAGAAAGAGAAATCAAAAGGAAAAAAGAGAGAAGAATGAAACCTTAAGAAAAATAAAAAGAAAAAAAAAATGGAGGAAGGAAAAGAAAACCGAAATCGATCCAGCTCTAAGAGAATTAGACAGTAGAGAGCCGGGTCACGCGCTCGATTCTAATTGTACCTTTTAGCTTTAGGGCTCTTACCCGTTCTCCCTACAAGGAACAATAACACTTGCGCGCGGATGTGTACGTCCCTGAGCA